AGTCCTTCCGACATTAAAAGCTGTATCTACATACCTGGGCCACCACAAAGTAAATAGCCTGCCTCGTACCGATGCACTTTTCCTAGAGTGGTCCCCGTTCGTGTGTATGTACCCTTGGGTGGTCTGCGAGTACGTGTAGCTATACAGAGGAACGCACCGCACGTACGTACGTACGTATTGTACGTGCACGCGAGCATGTAGGTACCGTCGGCGAGATAGACCACAAGCCTCCCGCATACTTCGACGCCGGTGCTGGTTTTGCACGCGGGGACGTATTTATCCGTATACACAAGGGTTAGGCGAGAACGTCTTGGTGAACGTATATAACTTCATGGCAAGCTTCCATGCCATTATATCATAAAGGTAGCAACTCCCCGTTCGGCCTCCTCTTCCTCCACCGGCAACGGCAACCGACTACTTCGGGCCAACCCATAGAATGTCGACGCCATGTCTGCTTCATGTGCCTCTCTTTATTACCTTCGATATCTCTGTCGAACGGCGCGGCGGCGACGGCGGCGGCGGGCTCTTGGGAAGCTCGTGCGACATTCATTTCACGTAACAGTTGGCGAAATGCGCTGTATTTCTATCCGCGGCTGTAACTGTAACTGCCCCCTGCGAGCGATGTCGACATTGCGGACTTCTTCTCGCGGATAAGACGCGGCTTTGCAACCGTCGCGCGTCGCAACGCGCCGCAAACATGGACGTTTCGCGGAAATGGAAAAAGAAGAGATCTTTGTCAAAATGTGCGAGCCCCAGGAGAGATAGCGTTTTTTGGGGGGCTTGTTAACAACGAATTCGTTTTTATCGACGCGACGAATCTCTCTTCGTTTCATTTTCGTTTCATTTGACAAACGCGCGCGTTTTTGCTTCTCTTTGGATCACGATGCGATGTTGCGACTGATCTCGGTGTAATAATTTTTAGCGCGTTTCAGGCAAATCGACGCCGGCCTGCCGATTGGCGGAGGACCGCCAATGGGATTCGAATTATCGTACGAAGTTCTTGTAAAAACCGTGTCGGAAGAAACGCGAAAGAATCGATGAAATATTTATCATTTCTTGACCGGTTGTGTTATTTTACGATTGCTCGCGGGAGATACGCGCGGAAAGCTGATCTACAATTAGATTTATTAGATTCTGAGGAGGATAACGCGTTGGCGAGGAAATATTACACGTAGAATCCACGAGCTTTCAAGATGGCGCGAAGCGGAAAAGTAAAGAAACGGTTGCAACTCTTTCTATTCTTTGTCATTTTGTTGTTTTTGTTGTCATGGATATGTATATATATATTGTCTGCACGTGGTAGTCCATCATTTCCAACGAAATAAATAAATAAATAAATAAAATAAAGGAATAGATAAATAAATAAAATAAAGGAATGAATAAATAAAATAAAATAAAATAAAGGAATGAATAAATAAATAAAATAAAGGAATAAATAAATAGATAAAACGATCGCAAAGGAGAGATTACTATTTTTAGTGTAGAGAGAAATTACTATGACAAGTTCACGTTCAAGATCTTGTTTTGAACGGATTCCAGGCCATCCCGAACGGTTTCTAAAAAGATCGACGAAAGAGCAGCGTGCCTCTGATTTCCTTCGAATTTCGAAAAAAATTCCTGCCATCCTTTCTACCGTAAAACTACAACCACCGACAGATCAGGCGTACTCATCCGACCCTCCCACTCTCATCCGTCATTATGTAAAACTGCTAATCCTCTTTGTCGTAGCTGACAAGCTTTCAGAGCCCGATCGCGATCGCTTTGTATCCCGGCTGCTGTTCTTTATCTGTTTGCAGGTACCGGTGGCGTTCGAATTGTTCGAAACACGCGGATGACGACGTTTCCTTCCGACGCACGGCGGTCGGTTTTTATCCGTGAACTGGGAGAAGAAGTCGATTGTTAAAAAACATCCTCGGAATTTGTTCGCTAGTACAGTCGATCGAACGTGTGGCTTATTATTTACTATGATTATATTCTTATATATATATATATATATATATATTATATATAAATATAATATAATATTAATATATAATATTTTCGTTTCAGACACGGCTATACGGCTTCGAAGTAGCTCATATCAAAATCATCCTAAATTTATGTCGTCGTTCATGATTATATTGTTCTTCGAAGATAAATAATTTTTACCGAACTCAATTGTACTCAACGTGCACTGAAATTATGTCGCAGGACACTTGTTTTTTCATCTCTCACATTTTTTCAGTTATGTTATATTTTTCATTTCGTTTTTTTAATTATTGCATTTTTTTTGCATAATTGCAGATTGCATTTCGAAGAGCGACGCCTTCGATTAATAACAAAATAAAAATTGCCCGCTATTAGCAGCCGTCGGAGAGATCGGCTAATAATAATAATGCCAAAATTATCATGTCGTTTAATTTCTATAAATAATTAAAATATTGAATATAAATTAATTAAATAAAATTATAAATTATATAAATAAAAATAGAGAAAGGTAATATCAATTATAGGAAAGTCTATAATTATTAAAGTTAATATTAAGTTAAGTTTATAATTATTAAGTTAAAAATTATTAATAGTCTACAATTATAGAAGTATCAAGCGACCACAAAATTAACGCAGAAGAATTTGAAAAAAAATATGTGTACTGGTAATTATACTAAATTAAATTATATTATACTAAACTAAAATATATTTGTACTAGAAATTATACTAAATCAAATTATATTACATTATACTAAACCAAAATATTTGTACTAGTAATTATATTAAATTAAATTATATTATACTAAACCAAAATATTTGCACTAGTAATTATACTAAATTATATTATATTACATTAAACCAAAATATTTGTACGAGTAATATAAAATAATATAGTAAAAGGCTTGAATATATAATTTTAGTTGTTACATGTTTTTTGCCGCTTTTCACCTGAAAAACTGTGCGACGCGACGGTGAACGCGGGCCGTGCCGTCGCCATCGGGAAACAAACTCGCATAAGCGCGTTTGCTGTTGCGTGTGCTTTTAACGCGGGGAATATTACGTGTCGGGAATCAGCGTGAGATAATAAAGCAATCGCTGCACATTTTTCTCTGCCCGGGATTCCGGTGGGTACTTCTACCGTTCTACCCTCGATCTTTCATCACCTACGAGTCACACGGTCGCACGCTACTAATTTAAATAATAAGAATTTCAAGGTCACGTTAGCTCGCGACAATACGGATCACTTAATTTTCATCTTCCCTAAACAATTTGTCGTTTATCAATGTCTCTGAATGTAATTTCTCGACGTAATAATATAAAATGTTTAATAAAACATTTGAACATGAAAAGAATATGCAAGAGCGATTGTTTATAACGGAAACAATGTGAAAGCTTATAAAAAATAATTATCCAATTCGGAAGTCCCTTCAAGCTTTTATTATTCTTTTTGTTTGTCTTGATGAAACAGTTGACACCTGTTTTAAACATTACAGGACAGCAACGATATAATTTCAGGACAATATTATATATATATAATAATATATAATATAATATATAATATAATATAAAATATAATATATAATATATAATAATATATAATGTATGTAATATATATATTATATATATTTATAATACTTATAATTTTTTAAATTATATTAATATTTATAACAATATATATATATAACAGTGTCCCTATGTACATTGTGTCCACGCACTAGCAATTAATCTTAACGCGACTTAAAAACGCGATCCGTCCGCTGATTATTAGATTAGACCGCATCGAAAAAAATTACGGTAACATTATATAAAGTCGGGATGAAATTTGAGAATCCATCTAGTTGTTATAAAATACGCATCGGGTGTAAGGGTAGATGGTGCGAAATTAGGTTGCTACCCTTGTCTCGTGCACCCTGATTATCATAGTCAAAAACACGATCCCCGCCTCGCGGTTACGCTTTTATTATTCGCGAAACTGTCCGTAGCGTGTTCTTGGTATGTGCATAGTTCGTATATAGAACAAGATAATATAAATTCAATATAAATCCACCGTTGTTACTTAATTAAAGCGGCAGCCTACCGCCATTCGTTTCGTCAACGGTTGTTCAATGTAGAAACGCATTAAGAATTGTGAAACGCGAGAAATATCAACAGATATCCATACTATATTCCTTGAATTTCAACACTTTTTTGAAAACAATAAAATTGCATTTATCGAGGCATCGCACGATTTTTATTAGATTAGATTATTATTATTAGATTATTATTATTATTTAAATAGATACAGGAGAAAGGTACTGTTACGATTTCAACGATTATAAGTATTACTTTTACATCTAAATAATTATATGAAGAGATTTTATTCATTTATTTTTAGTTGAAATCGTTATGCTATCTTCTTACGTCAATATTTACCTTCATTGAACGCATTACATAATTAAATCATTTCGTTTGTGAAAACATATGAGAAAACAATTGTAAGATTCTATTTTTTAAATTCTATTAAACAGGCCTCCGGTAGATCAAGCGGGTTCCTCGGATCATTTGAAGCAACTTCCTTTACAAAAATGTTCTCCGAGGCGCCGTTAACGAGTTATTAACGAAAAACAGCGACCAATAAGAATCGAGTACGGCTGACGCGAGGCGGCCCAGCCAACCGGCGCGCGAAGCCCAGTTCCGCTCATTGGCTCGGTCGCCACGCGCCAGCCGAGCTCGCCTCTCATAGGTCACTGTTTTTCGTTAATAACTCGTTAACGGTGCCTCGGAGAAAATTTTTGTAAAGGAAAAAGTTGCTTCGAATGACCCGAGGAACCCGCCACTTTCGGATTGCGAGACATTTTTGGGACATCCTGTATATCTTTTTATGTCAGGAAGTTAATAAACCGAGTATATTTACGTGTACTCTAAACAAAGAGTCGACAGACGTACGTGACACGATTAAAACGAAACGAAAAGTATTTCCGGAACGTTCGAGTTCGCAGAATGCAAGGAAACGCTGCTCTTGGTATTATTAAAATAATATAAAATATAAAATATTAACGATATAATAATATAAAAATTAAAGTATTAAATATAATAAAAAAATTAATAATATAAAAATTAATTATATAAAAATATAAAAATTAAAATATTAATATTAAATATTTTATATAAATATAAAAATCCGTTCTTGTCTAATGACCAGCTAAAACGTATCCGGGGATCCTTCGCTTCTTCCACGGCTTCCATCAAATAATTAGCGAAAGTGCGAATTTACATAATGATTCGCAAGCCGGACAATAAATCACGCTGCTCGCAGAAGCGATTCGTTCGCGGGTGTTTATCGATTATCGTTCCGCTTGGATAGAAGAACAGCTTCCTCCGATGCGAAACGACGATTCGAGCGAATATATTTCGCCGCATTTTTATCACGCCATAATCGATAAACAGACGAAAACGACTAGAGGCGAGGAATACAGTCTCCTTCCGAGAACCGAGCGAATATGACGCGGGAACGTTGTGGACCTCCCGTCAAGAATTCTCTATCTCCGATTATAAAACAAAGGTGGGGGGAAAAAGGAAAAAAACGAGACGCGTGCCACGGAGAGAATCGCGCGATGCAAAAGGAACGGAGACAGGGGGCGATCGTTGTCGCGTCACATCTCCCGGCGCATACGTACAGGGTGTCCCGAAAATGTCTCGCTGTCCAAAAGTGGCGGGTTCCTCGTGTCGTTCGAAGCAACTTTTTCCTTTACAAAAATTTTCTCCGAGGCACCGTTAACGAGTTATCAACGAAAAACCGTGACCAATGAGAGGCGAGCTCGACTGACGCGAGGCGACCGAGCCAATGAGCGGAACCGGGCTTCGCGCGCTGGTTGGCTGGGGCCGCCTCGCATCGGCCGTACTCGATTCTTATTGGTCACGGTTTTTTGTTGATAACTCGTTAACGGTGCCTCGGAGAA